TACTGGCTAATAAATTGAAAAAGAAAACAGAAAAAGAAAACAGAAAAAGTTTTTCGAAAAGTAACTAGAGTAGTTACTAGAATAATCACTAGATTAGTTACTAAAATACTCACCAGAGTGATTACTCTTGTAGCTGAACGTATAAAAACGATGTGTTATATTTAATATTTTATTTATTAAAAAAAAATTAAGACAATAAATAATTGATAGATCAATCCCGATGAAATGGAAGGAAAATGGCCGATGACTATACTTTATTCTCTTTACTATGAATTTGGAAAGACCGTGCCATTTTCAAGAGTGGCTGGTATCAGGTATGAAGCAATAGCGGCCAAAGGTAAATCAAAAATTAATGTTATTTATTAATAAAAATTAAATTAATAACAATTAGATAAATATATATATATATATATATAACGAGTCACAAAAGTATATTACGTACACACATGTTTGTTAAAAATTAAATAATAATTTCTATTCAATTTGTATATCGCAATATTACAAATTTTTTAAAAGCAGAAATATTTTTGCATCTTTACATAAAATATAATAATAATAATAATAATAAAAATACAATTATTATTTATCTTTATTTTTTACTCACTCGTAAAACTAATTTTTGTTCTTTTTATCAAATATATCAAACTTTACTTCTTTTTATAAAAAAAAATAATAACAATACTTTTGTTCTTTTACAAATAATATTTATAACAATATATTTGTAACAAAAATATAATAATCCTTAAAATATATTACTGTAAAAAAAGAAATGAAGAAATATATAATACAATGAAAACTATTGATTGTTTTAAATGAATACGTACAATCAATAAGAATACTTTTGTGACTCGCATTATAAATAACTTTGAAAAATATTATATTTATTAACGTATTATATTTTCCATTTAATTTGATTTTAGCCGAATTGGTATTTCGAATGTTCAATTACACGTTAGGAAAGGATGTATTTCGCGAAGGAGTGAGAAACTTCATACAACAACAACGTGACGAAAAGTAATTGATTTAATTCATTTGACAAAAACCCTAGAAACAGATTTAAACTTGAACTCATTAAAATATTCGATATCGATAAATTTATCAATGAGAAACAAGTGAAACCAATTATATTCATCGATAAATAATATAATTTCCTTTTAAAATTAATTAATTAATTAAACTATCGCGTTCTCAATTTTCTCATCGCTTGTGTTAAAGTATATTTTTGTTTTTTTTTTTAAATGGAAACGGAAAGATAGGGGGGGAAGGGGTAATCTGAAGAAATAATTTCATTATTTAAAATAATTAATATATATTAATTATTTATCGAATTTTTAAATATCTCTAGGAAAACAAAAATATTCTACATTTGTATTTTGCATTTTATAGAATAGAATATTGATTTGTTTCTATACAACCATAAAATGTTCGAGTAGTTAATTCAATTAGTTAATAGTAGGGGAAAAGGGTGGGGTGTGGGTGAGTTGGTTGGTAAACACGATCGATGTACATACTTGTAAGAGTTCAATGTTACACGATCAGTTTTATACTGAAAAAGTGTTAAAAGTATTTCTTATTGAAATTTTGTAACACGTTTTATGTTTAAAAATCTATGTTTAAACTAATATCAATTATTAATTAATGATCCGTGAGATAATATAAAAATATATATATGTAATATATAATTAAATGAATAATATCGAATATTTATTTATTTACTCGTAGATTAAATGAAAAATTGTAAACTTTATTTATACAGTTACGCATTTAAT